TTCTATATTTATTATGCGGTCTGGACCAAATTTGCAGGACACATTTTAAATAGGACATTCATCCTGTGTTCCAAATTTTTCCGATTTCTGTGGGTGAAGGGGGGCGTTGACACGCCCACTTTTAAAATACCTTCCTATAGTCATAGCCATCATTATAAAAGAAAATTGCAGTGAAAAATCTTGTTAATTTCAAAAATGTAATTTTGGCCACGGAAACGGGTCAAATTCAACATAGTGCATTGTATCCAAGTATTGGACTCTCCTGAATGCGATCCATCTGATCTTAGGTAACACCTTAAGGTATACATTGTATCTAAGTTTCCTTTGAGAAACAGTTCAAATTAAATGAAAATTGCACTATTAGTTTTGTTTTGAAATATTTCAGCTTTAATTGGAGTTAAAGAATTCTCCCATGAATCTTTGGGTCTCGGCCCGATCCTCCGCCAGAACCCCGCGCATGCTCTGCACAAATGTGGCATCGGTTTCCCGTAGAACCTCAACGAACTCCTGGCTCTGCACCTCCAGCGTCATATTTTTAGCCTTTAACGATTTTGCGAGGCCCCTGTAAGCCAGGTTGTTTTGCTTGGTCTTCCCATCAAGCTTGCCCAATATATTCTTCTCCTTCACCAGGTCAAGCAGCTCTGTTACCTCGGCGTCTGACCAAAACGATCTCTTCGATTTCATGACTATTTCAATAACTATTCCCCTATCTTTGTATAGCGTTAAGTTGGTTGCGCATCACCAATTCACGATTTGAGACTGAAATCATAGTCAACTTTCTAAATGGCGTTTATGCGCCAAACGTGAGTTCGGCATCGCATAAACACAGTTATAAATACGTTAAGGTAGTGATAAGTACATACATACGTTCATATAATATATAAAATATGATTCCCGATTTTACCGCATTAATCGCATTTATCGCATTAAAAGTGGAGTTGGTCCCTTGGTGTTAATTGATAAAGTAATGCAAAAGGAACAATATTTGAGAATTTTACAAGAAAATCTTCCAGAAGTCATTCGGAATATAAGTTTTTCTGCTGAAAAATGTATTTTTTAACAAGACAATGATCCAAAGCACAGGTCCTTTTTAGTAAAAAAATTGGATTTCAAGACTAAAATTTCAATCCGTAAAGTGCCCCCACAATCTCCGGATATGAATCCAATAGAAAATTTATGGAGTCACGTGAAATCGTAATTGGCGAAATACGCAGTTCCTCCAAGTGGAATGAGGACAAAGCACGTATGGTATGTTATTCCCCCCGAATTGGTGCAACGCTAAACCCAAAGTATGCCAGATAACGATAGGCCAAAGTTCGATAAGCGACTATCGACGACTCGTGAGTCTAGGGAGTCGGACAGCTGAGTCCATTTATGGAACTGGATCCTTAAACTCCCAAATGAACCGGGGCTTAAGTCCGAAAAATTTTAGGTGGTTTTTGGCGATTAGAGGCTTAGAAAATCTGAACAAGCAAGGGTAATGAAAGGGCGAAAATCAGTGGTCGCAGACGGTTCTGTTGGCGAAAATGAATATTAAATAAGTCAAGTTCCTACTTGAGGTAGGTTTTTTATCGACGAACAAAAATTAAAAAGAAAGACCAACTACCCGTCCCAAAAAAAAAACGAGACTGATAAAATTATTTGATTATGTAACACGCCCAATAAATGTATGGCAATTTATATCTATTTAAATCTTTATTTATTTAACTTATTTATTTACGCATACAAAAATATTGAAATATTATTTATAATTATTTATTTATTTAAAAATATAAATATGTTCCATGTGGTAGTCCTTCGGTACCGTAGGTAGGCTTGTGAATTGTTACAATTTAAGATAAACTTTTAAAATACAACGTGCTAGCGAAATTAACTGGTTGATGTTATTGATAGGTGCCAAGTCAGTTCACGAAATGCTGTTCATTAATTTTAGAACATAAAATGTTATTTACACCCCAAATACCATAATTAATGTTAAATTTCTCCCGAGATGTAAAAAATTGCGATTATTTCAAGCTGCTGAGCAGCATACTAAAGCCAACTGTCAGGAGATGTAAATCATCAAACGCACACGGAATCGCAGTTCATGTGCCTTCCATTAAGGATTCAATTAATAGCAGCGTGGTAGAAATAAGCTCTATTAATAATCTTCAGGTGAAGCGGGATCGCAAATTCATTTGTATAAAAACCCTAAATTTAAGTTAATCGGAATTAAGAAATGTTCGCTAGTAAGTATACAAAAGTAAAAAAAAAGTGTCAACTGTTAATATCTAAAAAAATGTGTAAGTATGAAATACTGTAAATATTTTGTACAAACTGTAAATAGGTAATGAAAAAGAAAAAATCTTTGGTATATTATTTATTAATTAAAATTGTTTTTGTCATTATAATATCAAATTAACAATAATATCCATTTTGGTATTTTTAATATCCAATCTACTACAATGTATATTTGAAATTACATCAAATTTACAAAAAAAAAATTTTTTTTAATTTATACCGCTATAATGTAAAAATGATATTCCCGAAATATCATTTTTAACATTTCGAACATATCAAATTGATATGTGTCGTATCAAGGCCGAATTGATACTGGACTTCATCAAATTGACCATCATATCATATCAATTTTCAATTGCGGAAGCGCAACTCGGTTACCCAAAGGACATAAAGCGGAGACTTTTTAGGGATGATCAGGCTCGGAAATGATTTGTCGTAGGCTATACCGCCATACTTCACTGTTGGTCTTACATTTCTTATGTTCCTTCCTTGTCCATCAGACCCGAATATGTTTGAATTTGCTCTCATCGCTAAATACGACTTGCCTCCAGTAATCAAAATCCCGGTCTGAGTACGTTTTGGCAAAGGAAAGTCGCTGTAAAATGTTGATAGGCGAAAGCAATGGTTTTTTTCCTAGAGCATCTCCCATGCAGATCATGGCTTCTAAGTACCCTTCGGACGGTTTCTGTGGAAACGTTAGTTCCGAGGGTAGTCGAGAGGGCCTTATTAATTTTCTCTGGTACTGAGTGCTTTCGGACTTCCAGAACGGGACAGATTTTCCAAAAAATAACGCGCTAGCCCTAATAAATACTAAAAACTATATATTTTTTTGATGCAATAAATACTTTTGTGAACATAAAAATAGACTATATTTTACATTTTTGGCTATAGCTTTGTATTAAAAAAATAGGTTTTTTCAATAAGTAAACCAAATTTTATGTACGTATAATATTTTTAATCACTATTATAAATTTCAGTTTCTGAATATTTTTTCATTCCCCGAATCACGTTTTAATATTAACTTTTTTTTTGCCCCGACCAGACATTTTGCTTTACGAGTATTTCACTTAGTTCACATAACACACTGAAAACGAATGCTCGACGAGCTTTAAAGCGTTTATTGTCGATTTCAAAATGTTCAGTTACATAGTAAAGATATCCATAGAGCAGTGGTCGGCAGCGGCCTATCTAGTGAGCATAGGGAAGTGTTCTGCCCATCCTCTGCTCGCTCACGTATAACGTACATGTTCGTGTGACTTCGGCATGGGTCTTCGGGTCATTTTTTCTCAACTTCGGCGCGCTTTTTTGTTGCTGCGGCAGAGGATCTCAGTGCAAAGCAGAGAAACGTCTCGCTACAGCACGCCGCGCGCAAACTTCGTGTTTGTTACACTCACACTAATGCAAGGCAAACTTGTGATGGTATGTGTGTGCCGACCACTGGTTTAAACTGAAAAATGATTAAGTTAAGTTTGGTACTCACATCGACGAAACCCGCGAGTTAACCATAGGAGTGAGCGAGAGGCAAATACGCGGCTAAAGCTTTTTAAGGAAATAACAGAAAAAATACCAGATTTAGCGAGTGAACTTTCGATGAACGTCGTTAGCCGCGGCCCAAAGAATAAGAAATTTTATCTTTGGCTGTGTTCGTGCAAAAGCGGGTGGAAGCCAAATTTCAAAAATGGAAAAAAAACACAAAAACCACGCCAAAAACGCCTTCAGGAGTTTAGATCTGAGGAAAAAGTGCGCTGTGGAGGAGCGCCTAATGCTGCGTTTATGAAGAGAATAAAGAGAAAGAGACAAAGATTGTAGGTTATCATTTTGCATTATTAAATATTTGTATATAATATATACTTTTTATGCTTATATAATAGTTGCAAGCTGGCTTGGAAATCCCTGCGGGACAGCCTTAAGTATCACAACAAGGTCAGAAAGCAGAAGAGTGGAAGTGCTGGAGGAGATCTACTGGAGAAGCCCAGTGGAAAGGAGTGTGCCAAGTGGGAATTCGCTCCGTACATGGACTTCTTGGCGGACGTGTCCTTGCAAAGATGGTAGTTTCTGGCCAAATGAATTTGGTTACGTTTTACTAATCATTTCAATTATACCAGAACCACCAGTAGTGCGATCTCAGACAAGATCTCCATTGAAGACTGGACTCTGGACTCCACCATCATCAGCTACTCTGCAGCTGAAGCGGAGCTGGAGGCCGCGCTAGAGGATGAGGTACCCGAGGAATTATATACTTACGTAAGTTGCTCTTCTAGTGTTTGATTTTGTAACATTTATATGATTTTACATTTACTTTCATAGGGAGGAGAAAAAAAGCCACCCCCAAAGAAGAGAAAGCTGGATGGTGATGGCTCACCAGTCGTGGCCATGTGTAACATGCTGGGGGAATTCCTGCAGCATCAACGGGACAACACCACTCTATCAAGGCCCATATTGGCCTATTGGGATGGGGAGCTGAACGCCATGCGTCCGGAAGATGCTGCCAGGGTGGAGAAGATGACGCAGCTTCTGTGGGACGAGAAAGAATTTCTATACTACTAATTTAGATTAATAAAAACATTTATTGAACATTTCAATTATTTTAATTTTAACTTCTTCATACACCAGCAGACTGGTCTTTCCAAGGTACTTGAGAATACCCAGCACTACCGTTTAAATATTCCATTAGGTCGCTTCGAACTTCCTTGCTGAAATCTTGAGGGCGACCTCGCCGGCAGGCTCGCAGATCGACAAGCACGTTGCTCGGTACTTCGTGCAACGTGTAAGTTGTAGGATTTTTCCGCATTAAAAAATTATGCAGGGCACAACAGGCTGCAATAACTTTCTGAGACTTGCTCGGGTTGCTCAAGTACGTTGCACAGCCATCCACCGTGCACTAAGAATCCCAAATGCATTTTCATGTCTCCCTCGCTTCCGAACGCCCCGGCTTCTATATAAGTGAACCGGTAGTGAGCGTCGCAGATTGCCATAAGAACAATCGAATGAAATCCCTACATTACAATAGATTTACTTATAAAATTTTCTTTGAAATTTAAAAGTACTTACTTTATAATTGTAAAAAAGGGTTCCGCTATTAGTGAAGGCCCGTATCGCCACATGCTTCCCGTCGACGGCACCAAGACAGTTTGGAAAGTTCAATTCGTCTTCGAAGTCTTTAACGCACCTCAGCATGTTATCGGTGGTCCACTTCGGAAATTCCCCTTGCAACGCAGTCCAATTTGCAGTCCGAAATGTTGCTTGCTGATCCGATAAGTGGATCCCACATGGCGTTGCAGATCTCCAGAAGCAAGAAATCTAACAAAAGAATATTAAATCACAATATTAAAATACAATAATGGTATCAAAGTCTAAACATATATGTATATATATTCTATTTACTCCAAAACGATGGCCAACTTCGCTTTTAGCGGTATGGCATCTGGCCGGGTGTTCCGTTTCGGGATAATGTACTGCTCCACCAATCCATAGAGTGCCTTGAAGCTGCTCTCCGGCATATGGAAGTTTTCGAAGAACATGGATGGGGTGTTAACCAAGTTCTGAAACTTTAAAATAGATGAAAATGCTCATAGGTGCAAGAGTATTTCTGTGTTTTTCAACAATGTTACTTAAGTCTGAAGCATAGCGGCCTTTGAAGGAGCGTTCCTTGAGATACGGGCTAACCCACTATTTTTGCCTCTGTGTCCTTTTTTTCGCCTCCTTCTGCTCTCCTGCGGCAATGCACATCGCCATGCCAACTGCAAAGGTAAAGCTTGCGTCCTTGGTCTTCCACATTTTAAATTTTGAATTTTCAATTTGTTTAATTTTTGCTAGTCAACAAACCCAGCGGATTGCGGATGAACTCTGAAAACTTCGCGTCCCTACCATTGTTTTTCAGCAATTTAAAGTTTATATTAACCTAATCAGAATTAGATAATTGAAGTTCGTAATAAGTTTATTAGAGAGATAGGGGGAGACAAAAAGGGCAAATTGCTTAAATTGTTAGTTATTCAATATTTCTGTTTCCGTTCCATGGACGGAACCGCCGTGAATTGAACCTTGTGGCACGCCCAACTGTATAAAAGCCTTTTTCGAAGTCATTCTCACAGGCTATTGTAGCGCGTCTTCGGTGGATATTTTCGAAAATGAACTTGTCTGTGGCCATTAAAGCATGGTTTACGGTTATACCCTCTCCGAATCCATATTGTGTGTTTTATAGTAAATTGCTTGACTTTATTTGCTTTACTAAGTTTTTCATTATGACTTTTTCGAACAGCATACTGATTGCAGAGAGGATAGCTCTTGGCCTATAGCTGTGCAGGTGGTTTGGGTTGGAATTTGGTTTTAGGGTCGGAATGATTTTGCAGTGTTTCCAGTATAATTGAAAGTAACAATAATTAATGCAATGGTTGAAAATAGTGCTCAAGTGCCTAAGCAGAGGTATATTGAAACATTTTAATGTAAAATTGCTGGTCATATCATGTCCAAGTCCTTTTTTGTTATTTTTGCATTTAAGAATGTTGAGAAGTTCTTCAGCATTGGTGAAGCCAAGCTCATCAGAACCTTCCCATTCGCCTTCAGCTGTATTTTGATTATTAAAACTGATTATGTGATCGATGTGCTCAGAGTTGTTCGTTCCTTAGAGTCATGTCGTGGTTTTCTTTGTGTGTTTGCCCGAACGACCAAACGAGAGCGTTGACTTTAGCAAATTCTGTTGTGACTGTCGGAAATGTGTTTTGATCTATGGATATATCTATGAAGTCCTTTTCACCATCATTGTGTATAAAGTGATGGTTGAACTGTTCATTTTTGGAAATTTGAGGATTAGTGTTTTTATTAGTTTTATAGCAGATTTTCTTTGGATTTATTGCTGAGACTCTATTGCCTATTATTTTAAGTTCAGTTAGCTCTATGTGGTTGGTAATTTGTATGTCTATCTCTTTTATTGCTTGTTTGATGATCGCTTTTTCATCCATTGTAAGATGGGTTATTTTCGAAACAACGTGCGTCCTGGCGTCCGTTTCTGTTTTATTAGTTTTAAACACAATTTGCTCAAGTTTATTGTGTGTCGGCTGGGTCTTTTTGGTTTTACTTCCACTCCTGGGATGGCTTGGGGGTTTTCTATAGCTTTTGTGATAGCGTCTGATAGGTATTGGACGTGTTTATCTATTCCTGGTTCACTTAAGTTTGTTTCTTTAGGGATACTTTTTATGTTTTGCAAGATTATTTTATTCCATAGTAGAGGATTAATATGAGTAAAATTATATATAAATTAACTGTTGTTGATTACTAGTCGGGATTTGTTTATTTTAATAATGATTTGTATTGAGAAATGGTCTGATGGGAAATCTTTATTGACTTTGCAGGATGATTCTATGGAGGTTGTGCTTGTGACTAGAAATAGGTCTATGGAGTCTGGTTTTTGATTTGAATTGGGTCTGGTTGGTTCATTTGGAGGCAGAACGGTAAAGTTTAAATTTCGAAGGATCCAGTTATTTAGGGTTGTTCCAGATTGGTTTTTATGGCGGGGATTGAAAAAAGGTTTGTTCCAGGTAGGGTGTTTTGATTTCGGAGCAGTTTGGTATTTTGTTGAATGATTCTATAAGGTCATTAAGATCCTGAGTGTGGAGCTTATCTTGAGAGCGATTATAGAGTAAGGACGTTTGAATCGCAACCGCTTCAATTGCAAACATTGGCTTAAGGAATATTTAATTAAATTTTACACCATTTTTTATGCAAATTCCTACCGAGATTCCGTGTTCTTGAGATGCAACATTGGGCCGCTTTGTGCCTGTAGTTTGCCTAATAAAAATGTAGTTTTTCATGTTCAGCGATCAGCATTACTTCTGGTCGATGTGTGCTTAGGAAATTATTTAATTCATTTCTTTTTCGTAACAATCTTATGCCATTTACGTTGAGGAACATACATTTTATAGGCATAGTTACTGAGTGATCTGTAGAATGAAGTCTAATAAAATATTATTTTTTAAGCTTTCGTCATTGTTGTTTGGGTACTTTTTTATTGTGCTTTGCATTTCAGTTTCAGCTCGACAACGATTTAATTTCTCAAGAATCTCAAGTCTCTTGGGACAGATCTTAGCATTGGCTGTGTGCTTTCCATTGCAGTTTACACACTAAACTTTGTTAGTTTCCCTATCTAGTTCATTATCATCTTTTTTAATTTTACATTGTCCGGCTCATGTTTTTCAATACATTTTACACACATAGAGTCCATGCGGCAATTCGATGCAACATGTTTAAATCTTTGACACTATTGGCATTGTTATACCCGTTACTCGTAGAGTAAAAGGGTATACTAGATTCGTCGGAGAGTATGTAACAGGCAGAAGGACCCCATAAATTATATATATTCTTGATCAGCATCACTAGCCGAGTCAATCTAGCCATGTCCGTCTGTCCGGATGAACGCTGAGATCTCGGAAACTGTAAAAGCTAGGCTATGAGATGTGGCGTGCAGATTCCTGAGCTTCTTACGCAGCGCAAGTTTGTTTCAGCAGAGTGCCACGGCCACTCTAACGGCTACAAACCGCCCAAAGCTGTGGCTCCTACAGTTTTGATGCTAGAATACATATTTTAGCTGAAATGTATTGTTCTCATCAATACCTATCGATTGACCCAAAAAAAGTTTGCCACGCCCACAAACCGCCCAAACCTGTAACGCCCACAAGTTTCATTCTAGATAAACATTTTTTTTTTAAATGTATTGGTCTCGTCAATACCTATCGATTGATCCAAAAAAAAATTCGCTATAGTCGAGTACCTCGACTATAAGATACCCGTTACTCAGCTAAAGGGACCAAAGGGAAATGGAGATATGAAAGCAGCAAAGCGAGATTAAAATGCGCCACCTAACGCTGAGATCTCGGAAACTATAGTTTCCGTCGCAGTCGTTTCACCTATTTCTTTATAATATTTTTTTGCTCTTTCACGTGATTTTTCTCTAAATTTAACTAATTTTGAAATTTTAAAAAAATAAAAATGAAATAAATTTAAACAATATTTTGGTCTTATTTAAATCCCTTTATAAAAAATCCCTTATTAAAAAACCTACTCGAAACCTATTATAAAACTACTTAACTTTTTCTTAATAGATACAAATTTATTTCAACATATTGTACCCTGAGAAAGAAGCAATTTTATCTAGTAAATGGGACACATTTAAGGAAAAGGTTTTTTGCTTTTACGAATAGCAAATACAAAACAAAGAGCGACTTAAACTATTAAAGACAGTTCAGAAAACTGTATCACTTGGTAATGTATAATTTCTTTTACATTTCTAAATTTTATCTTCTTATGATAAGCTTGACTTTTTCCAAATTATGCCATTACCAAAAATCTAATAACATATTCTTATTCACAGATTACAAGGACTACATTTTTACTGTATTGCTCACATCTGTCATCTTAAATAATTCGTGGGCCGTCATTAAAGGAACCAACAAGCGAAAGAAATTATCACTACTGGGACTCGCAGGAAGGTTTTGTACGCACATGCAGGCGTACGAATGTGGCAAAACACAAAAATGTGTGATTATGAAAATCATTGAACGCTTTACTAGCTGCTCTATGCATACATATGTATCATATAAATTCTAAGAGTGACGTTAAGTACAAATGTATTTAAAACAAAAGTAATGATGACGTGTTAGCATGGTAAAAAATAGAGTTTAAGCAGAACAATTGTTTGGATTATATGTTTACGTTTATTTTCGATAAAAACACATACTTATTTGGGTCTTTATTAAATATAAACCACGCTTGTTTTAAACTACAGATTGGTTTAAATTGAATATGCACCAATATAGTAGGGTTTAAATAATACATTTAAATCAAACATAAAGTACAGTTCTTTTAACGGGGATTCTATTTAATTTACGTTTTTACGATTTTTATGTTAGAATCTAAACCGCTGGGAAAAATAGTTGAAACGTTGGCGAAATAGTGACATTTACGATGTTTTTTCTACCAGTGTAGATATTCATTTCTTCGTATGTGTATGTATAGTAGTCGCCTTTGATTTAAAAGATGTTAGATTTTTTAGTTAGAAAAAAAAACAAAATTGTCTTTTGGGCAGCACACGAGCTTCTAACCTCGAGAACATAAAAGTGTCGAAACGAACCACTGCACAGTGGTTCCGTCAGAGGCCAAAAATCAAAAAAACCGATTTGAAAATATTTAAATTAAATTTACACAGTTTGTCTTTAAAATATTATT